CCGGGTTGTCGAAGCGTGAGTGGCGTGTCGTGGTTGATCGGTGGCCCACGTAAAAAGCCGATTACACACCTTCAATTGCCGAAGGTAACTACGCTTTGGCTGCCTAGTTAACGCTAGGCCATAGCCAACGTACCCCCACGGGCCGCCGGAGCCTGTGGACGGAACGTATAACCCCCTCCGGATCGCTTGCGGGTCAACCTCCGGGCACGCCCGCTGCTAACTGAAGTACTCGGATAGTTTGTCGGTAGCCGTGTCAGGAAGGGCGCCCGACAAGCGAAATCAAATCAACTGACTACACACGTAGAAGCTCCCGTGGAGCGATCGCGGGACGCGGGTTCGATTCCCGCCGCCTCCACTTTTTGCCGGGATTTCACGCCCGGCGTCGTCTAGCGCCTTCGGGCGCCGAAGACATTTTTTTCTCCCGCGGCTTACTTCACCGGCCTGCGGATCGGTGAGTCCGTAGGGCATCTCCCCCTCAGTTCAACTCTGGGGCGGCTACATAAATCGATGGTAGGTACCTTCCGGTCGTAAGTGGCAAGCACAAGCAGGGCTGCGAGATGGCTAACACCTTGTCCTTGCAAGCTCGCCTAGCGTCTCCGACCTCAGAGACTCCTCGAATCTCCGCCTCAAGTCGTGTCCGCTGCTATTTCGCTCTCGGGAGGGGCATTGCCTCCGTTGCAAAGGCTAGCCGTCTTTGACAAGCGGTATAGCAGCCAGAGCGTCATGCCGACGACCAGTAGCTCGCCGGCCAGCATGCAGAGTTCCGCCAGCTGGCTGACGATGTCCATCGACGACACCCAGTAGCTGCGATTCTCGGCGGAGGTCTGGATAACCGGCACGCCCCCTTGGGGCGCCTTCATGAACAAGTAGAGCAGACGCGCGGCCCCGACGATGAGCAGCAGCATCGAAGCAACAATCCCGAGCACGCCGGCCCACAGCCCGACCCATAGCACGCGCGCCAACTTCTTGTAGGGGGGACGCCGCGCGGGATCAGCCATACGTGCGCCCAGCGACGCGTAGCGGTACGACCAAAAGGTGGTGAACAGCAGGATCGCCAGCCCGCCGATCGCGAGCACGTCGGTAACGCTGGGATCGCTGCGGACGCCGGTCGCTCTGCCAAACAAGAAGTAGCCCAGCGTCGCCAGCGGCACGATGGCCAGCGCCAACTGAACGAAGACCCCGGTCCAACCGAGCCGTCGAAAGGAAGCGGCCACCGACTCGATGGTTGGGCTGGACATTGCTGGGAGTCCTCAAAGGTGACTTGGCTCGGGACCAATTCGACGCGTGTTAAGTGGACGAGGTCTCGTTCTCGGAACGTTCTTCGTT